CGTGCAGCACGATGTAGTCTGTTTTTACTGCTTTACACTTTAATTAGGTGCAGCAGTCGGAAGAATATGAAGCAACAAAAACATTTACAAAAGGACTAATGCGCGACATTATTTCGACGACAGACTGAATTGCAGTGTAAAAGGTTGCATTATCCACCAGGTGGTAAACATCTGTAATAACACATAAATTGTGGTTTTGAAAATAATTTTCAATAAGTCAAATTCATATGTAGAACAACTGCATTTACAATTATTAGCCATCAAATCAATAATTTTACTTGCACAATAAAGCTAATTTACAAAAGTCCAAAATTTATTTTATGACAATAATTTATCTTTATTTTTTTGCAATTATTTACCTAGTACCAAATGAATATCTACAACTGTGCAAATTTATCGAAAAGTTTATTAATTTCTTGCTAATGAAAACTGCCATTGTTTGACAGAAAAAATATTTTCATTTATTCAATGACAATTAATTTAAATATTTTCGATGTAAAAGCTTCGAAAGTGCTCTCACTTGAAACGATAAGTAGATATTGTAACGAATGGTTCTTAATTAAATTCCGTCATTCATTGAAATAAAGAATTCTTTTTAATGTAATTTAATTCATGGAAGGGTAATTTCGAATTTAATTTCATTAATTTCATTTGCAGTAGGATAATTGAATTACATTATTTATATTCAGATTTATACTATTAATCGGAGTGAAGTACCGATATGTAATAATATAGTGATATAATATTGTAAGTATTATTATTTAAAATCAAAATACATAATGTAAACTTGCTTCGATATATAGATATGAAATGAAAATAGAAATGATATGAATTTTCAATAATATGGTTTAAATGAAGTGACTTTACTCAACTATAATAGTAATCGTTAGCATATATTTTAAGTGCAAGTCTGCATTGGAATAATAACGAGAGACGCCCATAAATGGTCAGTCATCTCATCAGGGATTTAGCGTTTTATTACAATATCCGTAAAGGTCGACACTGTCAAGAGTGCACTTTGTCTGAGGTTAATGTGGAGCAAGATCACACCGATGAGAATTTGCGGCAATGGTGACGCGAACGCTATAATCACAACGATCCATATCCATAAGCTCGCGTAGGAATATCCTACATGCATTCTGTTAAGTAATTCTTATGCGGAACTTCAAGGAAGACGACTCCTATAATTTGAGATTCACTTATCTCGCTTCACTTCATCTATTAGTTAAAAATTACTAGAAAAACAAAAACATTTCATCAATTATATTTCTCTCAATTTCCCATATTTTGCTAATTCAAGAATAAATAATAAACACATAATAATATAATATATATATATATATATATATAAAATAATATAAAATAATATAAAAATAATAATAATATTATATTAATATAAAATATAATATAATATAAATATACAATATATTATACACAATAATAAACACATAAGATTAAATAAGAGCCAGCAACAATTCGCGCGCAGCTGACTTCTCACTCACTTTTTTTAAAAATAAAATTAGCAATTTTAAAAATAATAGAACGTAAAAATTTTAAATTCTAATTTTTTTTTTTTTTTATAAAAATAAAATATGAATTGAAATATATAGTTTTAATATTATTATAATTATAATAATCATATATTCAGACATAGGTAATTCAAAGAAAAGTCTGGAAATTTTATTAAATGTATTTATGGCTCAAAAACTTCATTTTCACTGGACTGTAAAGGGGTTAAAAATAATGGATTTATAAAAGAATTTTAGTTAAAAATACTAAAAAATTGAATTTTGATGAACTTACAAATGATTGCAGAAATTCAATTATTTTCCAAAGTAATAAAATTCTTATCACAAAATTCACAAAAAAATAGAGATTTTTTTAAATTATTTATTTTTGTATTTAAATAATTGAATTCTCGTAGAATTTAAATCCCAATTATTATCTTTATAAATAAAAAAATTCTTCTTCAGAATTTAATTATTTTCAAAAATTTTCCTCATTTTAATTATTTCTGATATCTACTATTTCAATAAAATTACCCAAAAGACTTCAATTATTTAAAAAAAATTTTAATAAAATTGTACACAAACATTTATTTATTTTCAGAAATAATAAAAATTTCAAATATTTAAAAATATTTTATAAGTTTCTTCTCATTAATTCAATTATTTTTAGAAATAATAAAACTCATCACAGAATTTCAATTATTTTTAATACAATTTTAATCGAATTCCTTGAAAAATGTAACTATTTTAAAAAATTATCTTTAAATTCGTCAAAATAATTCAATTATTTAAAAATATTGTTAATAAAATTCTTTATATGAATTAAATTTTAAAAAACATTTAATTTTTTTAAAAATAATTTACTATTGTATTTAAATAATCGAATTCTCGTAGAATTTTTTAATAAAAATTGATTTGAAAATGTATTTTAGTTTAAATGTTAAATAATAATAGAATTTATAAAAATAATTTTTAAGAAGTTACAGTAACAATATTCTTAGGTGGCGGGTCAATATTCCCAAAATTTTTTTCCCAAAAAAAATTATTCCCAAAAAATGTTTTCCCAAAAAAAATTTTTCCCAATATTATATTTCCCAAAAAAAAATTTTCCCAAGCAAATCATTTTTCCCAAAAAAATAATCCAACATTGTCCACCAATCCGTTCGAAGTAGAATTTATTAAAAAAAATTTTCAAACTAGAATTTACTCAAACTATTATTTTTTCAAATTGCAATTTATTCAAATTATTATTTTTTCAAACAAAAATTTATTGTAACTATTATTTTTTCGAAATAGAATTTACTCAAACTATATTATTTTTTCAAACTAGAATTTATTGAAATTAGTCTTTTTTCGAAATTTGAAACTATTAATTTGTCGAACTAGAATTTATTCAAACTACAATTTTTTTAAACTATTATTTTTTCAAACTACAATTTATTAGAAATATTTTTTTTAAACAAAAATTTATTGAAACTATTATTTTTTTGAAATAGAATTTATTGAAATTAGAATTTTTTCAATATACTATTTATATTTATTCAAACTATTATTTTTCTAAACTAAAATTTGTTCAAAATACAATTTACTCAAACTATAATTTTTCAAACCACAATTTATTCAAACTATTGTTTTATCGAAATAAAATTTATTGGAACTATTATTAGTTCGAACTAGAATTTATTCAAATATTTTTACAAACTAGAATTTATTCAAACTATATAATTTTCCAAACCACAATTTATTCAAACTATTGTTTTATCGAAATAATGTGATTATTTACTACTAATTTGTCAATAAATATACATTTTGGAAAAAATATAACATTGGGAAAATTTTTTGGGAAAATTATTTTTTGGAAAATCCAGCATTGGAAAAAAAATATTTTGGGAAAAGTTTTTTTTGGGAAACGGATTTTGGGAAAATTGTCCACCAATCATATTCTTATAATATAAAATAATGATTTTAACACTCGATACTTTTTATTTATCATAAAATATGAAGAAATCGATCACTCCAAATCTTCGACTCGGAGTAATCGTTATCTTTATGTTTTATAACAATATTTTTAAAGTTGATTAATTTTAAAAAGGTTTGAATTTGAAATTTTTTTAAATCTTAATTCCTATAGAAAAATAACATTAATTGAATATTTAAAATAAAACCATATTGTTCCGCCATTTTGAATTTTGAAAATCGAACATAAGATTCGTAATCAGCGACCCCGCAAGTAATAATTTTCAAGTGAATCAGATAAATTTTTAAAATTCTCATCCGCCATATTGGATCTGCCATTTTGAATTTTGAAAAATCGATGCTGGATTCGTAATCAACGACCCCGAAAACCCCCGAATAATAATTTTCAGGAGAATTACTTTACTTTTTGGTCTAATGTCCTCTAATGCTTCGCCAGAGGTAAATCGTAAAATTGTCTGAAAAACTATTCAGTTTTTCAACAGAACCTGATTCAACTTTTGTAGTCAGAATTTTCTAGCTCATAATCCTTACAAAATGCCCTATTTTAACTAGAGAAAATTGGGGTAATTTTCACAAGGGAACTTTCAAAAGCAATTAATTAATACGATTTATCAAAATCATTCAATTTAAATTTAATTCCCCAAACTTTGTATATATATATATTTTTTTTTCAACGTATGGGTTGATTTATTTGATAATCGAATACTGTTAACCATATGCTTACCGTTTTCGTTTATTTTCAACTTCATTAAAATTTATTGTAAAACCACTGCAAAGTTAATAAAACAATTATTTTTTATCTTCATTTTATGAACACTTTGCTTTCTCATGAAAATTTTCATGTTATTATGCGAATAATAATGAAAATTGAGGCATTGTGATACATTATTGTATTTCAATGACAAAAAACCAAAAATATATTTTTTCCAAATTTCTAACTTTTAAAATAATCAATAATTTCCTAATTCTAGGCCGTATTTTTTATGGACATTGAATTTTTATTAAACATCTTAATTTTATAAATTATTATGCCAGAATTAATTTTCTATATAATTTTGAAACACCATTTTGAGATCAATAATCTATAATTTTAAAAGATTCGTAAATAATTTCTATTTCAAAATAATTCACCTTAAAAAAAAAATTTTATAGTAGATTTCTCTTTGAAAAATTGAATTACTTTTTTGTTAAAATGAAAAGAACTAAAAATAATTTTTATAGAAATTCAATTCGGAGCAATGCAATCAGGCAGTATTGTCGATTCATGATAAAATTCAGTTTAGATCATTTTCTGACGATTCAGCGTCTTTATATATATATGAACGTGAGAGTGTTTGATTTTTTTTTATTTTCCTGGGAGTAAAAATAAAAATTATCAATATATACAAGACGATATTGAGAAAAATTATGAATGCAAAAATAATGTCACCTTGTCTCATCTAAATAATCAGTTTCCTCGAGTCTGCGGTCCTACATAAGGACATAAGGTGTGGTGAATAATATTCTTCGGTCGGAGGTCACTAGGGACGAGTATATAACGATAGTCTTCACACCATAGATGATCAGTAGTGGGCTTAAATCGATACAACTCTGGTAACAATATCGCGACAATTAAATATCATATGAAGTCCACGATGTTGCTACTGGTGAGTGCTTCAAAGCGTAAAATTAGTTAAATTCAAAAATTATGTTTAAAATTAATAAAATTTTAAAACACTAATTTTAAACTTGGTAATTTGACAATTTTTCAAGTTCGTAGATATTTTAGTAGGTTCAGTTTTTAGTTTTGAGATTTTAATTACCAACTTTATTGATATTATTCCAAATAATCTAATAGCAGGAATAAAAATAGGAACACAGTGATAATTAGTTTTATTTATTTCCCTTTAACTTGAAATTTAATTTTCATATATATTTCTAGATTGTAGTGTTTTCGGGAGTGTTATAAAGTGAAAATCAGGGATGGAAAAGTGACGAGAAAAAAAAAGTGATAATGCAAATATGGGCCATGGGGTAGAATTTTATGTTAATTTATCGAATTAAGAAGCACTTGAAAGATCAAAAGACTAAAGAAGGTGAAGATATTGACACTTCTTTTCGTTCCTTGTTCTTCGTTTCTCGCCAACATTTACTTTATTGGAAGCTCTATAAGAGTCATCGTTTTCACGACACCTCCAGCAAAAAAAAATTCCACTTTCTTGAAGAAAAATATGGAAGACCTACATATTTCCTAAGTAGGCGGTTGGTTGCATCTTTTATACTATTTTTTTACTTCTTCTTTTTTTCCAAAACGTTTTCCCTGCCAAGGTTAACAAACATGGAAAAGAAGCAATCTTCTCTTCTCGAAAATTTTTTCTTTTTTTCCTCTTATTTTTTTTAAATCAAGACGAAAAAAAAACTTAAATTCCGCACTCTTTTCATGAACGTGAAAACATCGAGATCGAGAGCTTATTTAAAGGGGATGTACTAGAGTAAAACGTTCGAACGTATACTTTTCATTATGTGTATATACCACGGTATGTTATTTTAATCACTACGGAAATTCTGATATTGAGCTTTCGTTTCATGTTTACTTTTCCCATCATTTTTCAAGTATATAATATCCAACTCTCAATTTGTATTGTTTTAAAACCACTCTCTTTTATCAACTAAAAAAAAATTAAATTTCGAAAATAATTTCATTAATTTGAATTTAAAAACAGTCGGTTTTTGTTTATTTTTCTCTTCCATGAAAAAAAAAAAATTTTCCATTTCTCTTAATGAATAAAATAATTAAAATCGTTGTTTCCAATTTCTTAACTAGAATTATTCTCTAAATTATAGTTTCTTTTCGATTTCTATTTTCGATATTTCTTGACAGTTGAGCTCAATTTACGTTTATTTTGTATTTGTATTTTGAACATTCATAACTTTGTTAAAAAATTAATCAATTTTTGAGTTCTAAACGCCAAAGATCCACAAATTTATATTACTTTGTAAAAAAAATTAGGTTGCAAAAATTTACAAAAATTTACAACAATCTTATAATTAAAACAATATAAAAGAAAATGTTTTTGCTAAGGGTCGTTAAAAAAATTGTAAATAATTGTTAAATTACTTCAAACAAAGCTCATGAAAATTACTACTCGGGAGTTTACAGGGTCGCTGATTACGAATCTGTTGTTATTTTTTCAAAATTCAAAATGGCGGATCCAATATGGCGTACGAAAAATTAAAAATTAAGATATGCTCATGAAAATTATCACTTGGGGATTTTTGATGTCGATGAATTTAAATCTGATGCTAGTTTAAAAAAAAAAAAATTTTCCGACCTCCATATTGGATCCGCCATTTTGAATTTTAAAAAACTAACATTAGATTTGTAATCAAAGACCCAAAAAACCCACAAGTGGTCATTTTCATAAGCCTAGCTCAATTTTTTAATTTTTTTGTTCGCCATATTCAATTTTGAAAATTTTGCAAAACTGACATCAGATTCGTAATTAGTGTCCCCAAAAGTACAGAGTATGACGAAAATCGCTTCACTTAAAAAAAGTCGGACCTTAAAGGATTAAAATGAGCATAATATAAATATCGTTTAATTTAATATTTTAATTAATTAATTAATTAACTATAATAATTTGAATGTTCTTTCATTCACTCATTTTTTTTTCTATCCCTCACACTCTAAAGTTTAACAAAATGAATATTTTGTTTTAGAAAAAGAAGAAAAATATTTGCACAATTCCTATTTTTAATCTTATTTCTCAAACAGGATTTTCCACAGAAAATAAGACATTCAAAATTTTTTAATTCAAACCATTTTTAAATTAAACAACTTATAAAAGTTATCGATATCTTCATGTTTTCTAATAATTAAAGATTACCAAGTAATAAAATCATTATTTTATATTAAAAGAATATTGTTAATGTAACTTCATCAAAATTATATTCATCATTTTAATTCAATTATTATTTTTTTTAAATTTTAAAATTATTTTTTATGAAAATAATTGAATTCCTGCGAAATTTTTATTATTTATGTAAATAATTAAATGTTTGCATACAATTTTATTGAAAATTTTTTTAAAGAATTGTATTCCTTTTGGGAAATTTTATTAAAATAGTAGATATTGAAAAATCATTTAAAATAGAAAATTTTTTGAAAATAATTGAAATTAGGACAATAATTTTTTTGACATTGATGAAAATAATTGAACTTTGGAGAAAAATTTTGTTATTTACAAAGATAATTGGGATTTTTATGAGAATTTTTTTCAAATTTTTACATAGTTGAAATTTATAAGAATTTTACTTTTTTTTGAAAATAATTGAATTTTGACAATTATTTTTAATTTCCCCAAAATTGAATTTTTTTTAGTTTTTTCAACAAAAATTTAAATTAGAAAATTTTTAAATTCTATTATTTTTAATATTGCTAATTTTATTTAAAAAAATAAACAATTTTCCTGCCTAGATTTTCATCTGATAACTTGGAGATACTTTCTTCTTTTCTTATTTCTTTTGATTCAATTTTTAATTTAAATTGAGAAAATTGAATTTAAAGGGATTGAAATCGTCTTCAAACTGCATATAAACAGTTTACTTAATTATTTATAAAATGAAAATTTTCATGTTATGATGTTGAAATTGGCGTTGAAATTAAGTTGAGGGTAAATAATGAAATTCAGTGATTGATTGGAATTTAAGTATAGAAATTATTAATGTTGGATTTAAACACTTTTATTTTGAAACTGGACCGAAACTATATATAAAACTAAAGAGAATTAAGACTTTGAATATTTTAAACTATTGAGAAAATTGGAAGACTTAAAGAGAATTTTAAGACTTTAAGAACAGTTTTTGTTTGAAAGAAAATAACTTTTCAACTGAACTTTCCTTAAGGAACACGTATATTTATGTAACAATTCCCTCTACCTTTTTTAAGTGAGAAAAATTTGGCGATGGAAATATTGTAGTAAGGGAAAAAGAATTTGGCTATTTTAGGATTGGTTTTAGAAAAAGAAAATGGAGAGAAAACTCTTTAGAAAAATGTCCTAATTGGCAAATTTTGTATCCGTTCCATTTTATGGATTTTCACGCGTAGGAGGACTTTTGGGGTCTTCAAAATGGGTTAATTTTGTTGTTAATTATTTCATACTTTTATTAATTCATACTTTGAATTTTATTAACATTATATTAATTTTAAACTAAAGATTACAAAATAAGATTACAGTGACAGAAAGTTGGAGTGTGAGAGTGTAAAATAAAATAAGAATGTTAACAGTATGTGATGTATGTATGTCAGGAAGGAAAAATTTTGAAATAAATAACATGAGATTGTGCAAAGTACTTTTCTTCACGTGTTGCATGTTTTTTTTGTTGATATTGAGTAGTGGACGTTATCGGCTCTTCTGGCGGCTGCTCAGGCCAGTGTCTGGCCTTATCATGGATCAGTGGGATGGGTTCCAGCAACAGGTACATCATATGGAGCTGCACCATCAGTCGCCTTGAGTGAAGCATATGCACAATCAAATGCCCATGCTCATGCTACTAGTGTTGCCGGAGGTTCGAACAACATTTACACACCAATTTACTATAAGGGACTAGGTAGTCAATCAGCAGTATCAAGCGCATCAGCTCATTCTTCCGTAGGTTCTGCAATTTCTAGAGGTTCGTAATTAATTTTCAACTTATTTAATGCACATATATCAAAAAAGTAAATAGCAATTATCAATCAAATAAAATGAGGTGTCAATGAAGTAAAAATTCTACTGACTGTCTGCATACTTTCGCGGACCATCAGTGGTCAACATTGTTAGACTAACGTTAGGCTAACGTTAGAATAACGTTAGAATAAGGTTAACTAACGTTAAGTCTAACTAACGTTAGACTAACTTTAACTAACGTTAGACTAACTTTAAATAACGTTAGACTAACTTTAACTAACGTTAATACTTTAACTAACATTAATACTTTAACTAACGTTAATACTTTAACTAACGTTAATACTTTAACTAACGTTAGACTAACGTTAGACTAACTTTAACTAACGTTATAATCTGACATTAGTGACCAAAGAATGTCGTTAAGATTAACGTTAGTTAGTTTAAGATAGTTAGTTAAGATTAACGTTATCCTAACGTTAGTTAAAGTTAGTCCAACATTAGTTAGACTAACTAGTTAGTGTGTTAAGTTAACTATTGACGCTTCTTGGGCACTATTTGGAAATTAAAGTTTTTGGATTTAAAGAGATTCTTTTTGAAGATTTGTCGTCTATTACAGGTTCTGCCTACGTAGCTGCTCCTTCAAGAGGACCAGTCACAATAGTAGGACCCTCATTGCATCCGGTGTCAGTTATTGGATCCAACAGTGGTTCAGCAGTAGCAAATTCCATAGCTGGAGGAGGTTCAGCGGGAGCAACTGCAGTGATTGGACCAACATCGGTACCAGTTTCAGTAGTTGGTCCATCATCTGGTCCAGTATACATCACTGGATCCGGAGATAGTTCAGCAAGTGCTCATGCACACGCTAATTCGGCTTATGGTGTCGCATCGTCCGGTGCATCCATAGGACCATCTACCGGACCTGTGTACATTAAAGGTACCCCAATTATCTCCAAAAAATTTTCCTCTATTCACAATTTTTTTTTCTACTAATTAAAAATGAAAATTCTTTCTCCATACACAGCTCCAGTTGCTCCGCCAACCATATATCGAGCCCCAATTGTCAGGCCTGCACCTGTAATTGTAAAAAGCAGACCAGAGCCTGTTATTTGGTGTCCACCAGAAGTGACAGAATGGAAACTCCCAAAACCAATTGCAATTTATCCCTCACGTGTTGATCCCATTTTTGTAGCAGGGCCATCAGCTGGAAGTGTTGCAATCACAGGTCCCACAGCACCTTCTGCTATTATTTCTGGTCCCTCGGGAACAATTGCGACTTCCGGTGGATCAGCGTGGCCAGGAATCAAATACTGGTGATCAAATACTGGTCCGGAAAAAAAAAATGTGATCATATTCAACGATGTATAAACTTGTGCGAAATTGACGATAACGCTTATTACGTGTACGAAAAATCGAAATAGTATTTTTTTATAGTTTATTAAATTACTCTTGATAAACAATGTTTTATTTCTCCCCACTATAAAAAATATATTTTACAATAAAAATTTATCTTATAATAAAATTTAACGGAATCTATAATTTCAGTTACTTTATTATAATTTAATTTTAAATTATTAAATTAAATATGTTTCAATTCATTGTATAAACTTTTGTTGCTTTTGACAAAATGATAATAATAGATTGTATTATTTTGGTGCTTATTTCAAAGATAATATAATATCATTATTAATTACAATTTTTAACCTTTATTTATTAATTATATTCAAAATATAGAGAATAAATTGGGAAGAATAAAAGCATTTCATATGTATTTTCACAATGATGAAAATTCGAATACAATGGATATAATTTGCATACATTGCAAATAATCGCAATAGTAATTCTCTAATTACGACTTTTCCAAATTATTAGTATTCAAGCAAGTCCCATTATCGTAAAAGTGATAAAGCTATTATTGACTAAATACAATTACATTATTTAATAACATTGTCAGCCCGTTAATTATTTTCGCTTATAATAAGCGAGCATATATTAATTTCAAATGGGTTTATTTACATTTATTTGATTATACCTACCTGCATACGTTGCACAAATATAACATTACAAAATAATCATTTCATTCAAAGAAATTAAATTAAATGTAAAATTATATTTTCACTTCTAAATTTAATAATTAATATATACAAAATTATTGAATTTTTTGTTAATTAAATAATTTTAGATTGCTTTTTTGTTACTTGTACTAAGTATAATAATTATTATCGACAAAAAAAAAATTATTATCAAAAAAAGAAACAATTAATCCTAAAAATATTGCCTTTAATTTATTTTTCTGCAATTTTTTTATTAATGTTATTATTTATTTTTCGTACAAAGTTATGTTTTGAACTAAAGAGGCAAATAATTTTTTTTAAAACAAACTTTATTACACTATTAATACACAAGAAATTGCATTAAAAATTACATTAGAAATCATAAAATTATAAGAATAGCATGTTATGTATGCCTTTCTTATAATTTTATGATTCTTACTTACACAGCAATTTATTAAAGAAGTTGAAAAATCATTTTTATTATTTTTATTCTATTACACATAATTAAATTATTATTTGTTAAAGTGCACATGATTTTAAGTAAATCCAGTAAATTATTTGTGTGCACTTTTGGTAAACTTTTTTATTTACATGAATTTGTTTTTCAAATTAATAAAAAAATTTTTTATAATCTCAAGAAAATGTTGAATGGCTTGAGTAATAGGATTTAATTTACTCTGCATTTCACTAGAAGCTTTTGATAAACCATCTTTCGCCTTATGAAATTGTCCCTCAATTCCAAACGAAGCTGTGTAATGAAAAACCTGCACATACAAAAGAAATTGTTATTAATATTAATCTTTGCTATATGTACCAATTCATGATAAGTTGCTCCATATAACCCAACTGGTTAATAAAGTGGCCATTATTACCCTAGTGATATAAAGTGTAATTTATTGACTGCTCGTAGGTTAATAAAGTATCTTTTATTACCCTAGGGAAATAATGGCCACTTTATTAACCAGTTCGTCTGAGTTGCATAAATATTTTTTACCGAATTTTTTTTTACTTCTAACACAAAAATCTTTATTCTGGACAAAAAAAAACTCATTTTTACATTTCTTTTGATTTATATATAACAATTATAAAAGTATGTACGAGACTACTGAAAATTGCCCGGATGTTTATTTTGTATATTGCAAGAAAATAAAGTCATCAAAGTTTTACAGTAAAATTGTTTTATGTCAATAAATACAATATATTTTGATGTTAAAATGAATTTTTTATTTGTTTAAACAAATTATTATTGTTATTTAGCAACTTTTTACAGAAAGCACCTAGAAAGTTGCAGTTTTTTCCTAATTTTACAATTCCCTAAACTCTATATGATTACAGATAAAAAGTAAAAATTGAACTATTGTTTAAACAATTTTTAAACAAATTATTGTTGTTATTTATCAACGTTTTACAGAATGCCTCAGAAAGTTGCAGTTTTTTTTCCTAATTTTGCAATTTACTAAACTTATTCGTGGGTTTTCGGGGTCGCTGATTACGAATATAAAGTCAGATTTTCAAAATTCAAAATGGCGGTTCCAATATGGCGGACATTTTTTTTCAAAATTGCTCAAATTTGCACAAAACTTGTTACTCGAGGGTTTTCGGGGTCGCTGATTATGAATCTAAAGTCAGATTTTCAAAATTCAAAATGGCGGTTCCAATATGGCGGACATTTTTTTCAAAATTGCTTCATCTTGCATGAAACCTATTACTCGTGGGTTTTCGGGGTCGCTGATTACGAATCTAAAGTCATATTTTCAAAATTCAAAATGGCGGTTCCAATATGGCGGACATTTTTTTCAAAATTGCTTCAATTTGCATGAAACTTGTTACTCATGGGTTTTCGGGGTCGCTGATTATGAATCTAAAGTCAGATTTTCAAAATTCAAAATAGTGGTTCCAATATGGCGGACATTTTTTTTCAAAATTACTCAAATTTGCACAAAACTTGTTACTCGGGGGTTTTCGGGGTCGCTGATTATGAATCTAAAGTCAGATTTTCAAAATTCAAAATGGCGGTTCCAATATGGCGGACATTTTTTTCAAAATTGCTTCAATTTGCATGAAACTTATTACTCGTGGGTTTTCGGGGTCGCTGATTACGAATCTAAAGTCATATTTTCAAAATTCAAAATGGTGGTTCCAATATGGCGGACATTTTTTTCAAAATTGCTTCAATTTGCATGAAACTTGTTACTCGTGGGTTTTCGGGGTCGCTGATTACGAATCTAAAGTCAGATTTTAAAAATTCAAAATGGCGTTTCCAATATGGCTGATCCAAACTAAAACTCCACTTAATTTCTTTTCAATTATCTCGCCTTCTCTCTTTATAGGAATTATGTACATTTTTTCCTCCATTTAGCCTTTTGAAAAATTATTTATAACTATTAAATTAATTTCCAATATAATTAGGTATATTACAATTATACAGAAAAAGTAAATGAATAATGTTAAAGTCGATTTTTTATGACAAATTTGATATAATAAAGAAAAATTGTATGAAAGAAAGAAAGTGTTTTTATTATTTGGGTATGTATTTTAATAGTTTTATTTTTTTCGAGATATATTACTATAAGCATTATTATGATTACTATAAACATTAATATAGGCAAATAATAAAAGTTCCATAATGACCAAATCGAATAAGACGCTGAAAAGCTTGAGAAAATAGTGATTGAACTGAGGCAGCATCCGGTGCAACAAGTAACTGCACATTATCGTTATCCAAGCTGTGAGTTTATACTCGATCTCGATTACAACTAATACCCAGTCTCACATAGAAACCACCCATTACCTTGCGACAGCTGCTGCATTTGCGTTTGATTGCTTTTATAGTACTCGACTCTATTCTACTGTCATAACGCACGTACAAATCGTACATTAAGTGAACCATCGAATGAAACGTGAACGTTTTTTTTGTCACAACACCATCGTAACAATAATACTGAAGATTTAGTTTACATACAAGCAAGAAACATTCATAACAAATCTTTAGTTTTTCTTATTGCAAAACGTTTTAACTCTTACAAAAAAAAATATTTTGCAAAAAATAACAATATTTATAATTTAAACAATTTTATAAAAAAAAAAAATTATTTAATTTCATTTATTTGAAATGTTTATTTCTCGAAAAAAGTTTCTGACGAATTCAAATTTTTTGTTTTTCAAAATGCATATGTTATTCAAACAATATATTTTTCCTTCCGTTGTATACGTTGAAAATTACACGATAAAATTTACTTCAATAAAATTTCACTACAATTGGAAGTGATATATTTTTATATTGAAGGTGAAAAGGGATATTTTTTAAACTTTTGGCGAATTTCACTCCCAAGAAATTTCAAGAGCTCATAATATAACCTACAAAGATAAGAATGAAAGTTATGGCAATGGTAGCAATATAGTCCACAGACAGTTATAAATGAGATTGAAAAAAAGTGGTGTAGAAAGAATGTAAACTTTTAGATAAAAATAATCAGGAGAATAAAAAAGAAGGAGGGGAAGGATCTCTCTTGGCTATCGAAGAATGGACGATTATACCCGCATTTCTATTTTTATGCTCCTTTAATTAAAAGAAATATTGTCTTACTAACTTTTCAGATACTTTGGCTTATAGACTCGTCTTAATCCTTTAGGCGAAAAATTTTTAATTCATCATGTTCTACTTTTTAAATTTAACTTTAAATTCTTTTTTTTTCTACAGATTAAGTTTTAATAATGTTGAATTAAAATTTTATTAAAATTTAATTATCACAGAATTTGAAATTATAAATTTATTGTTAAAACAAAATTATTTTATAGAAATGATTTTTTTAAATTTTTTAACTTTTAAGCATACCTCTGCAATCAGCACAAAAAAGATGCTTAAGATGATGGCTTGTCTTCTAGTGAACATGATGACAGAATTGAGAAGCTTGTTAAGGAGATTACTTCAACGATTCTTATCCACGTAACTGTAAAGTAACTTCTTAATTAAATTCTCAATTTGAAACCATACTTATATATACTCTCTGATTAAATAAAAAATCGTGTAATCCGTTAAATTTATTTTTTAAATTAATTTAAAATCGGCAAACACTTTGTTATTTGCATAATTACACGTTTTTGCATTTTTACACGTAAGTTTCCAATTTGTAAATTTAAATGTTCATTTTGAAAATTAAAAATATTGATTAGTGATTTCACTCCAATCGCACGTCTTTCTCTTATTGCGCGTGAATCAATATATTAGTTCCTTTATTTTTACTTTAAAGTAAAACAATTCAATTCTTTAAATTTAAAAATTATTAAAAATTAAAATAATATTAGACGTAAAGTAAATGAAGGGGAAAAAATTCTACACCTCGTTTTCTTGCTGGTGACATACACATATTGAATATTTTTGACGAGTCAGCATTAGTTATTTA